ATCTCATTAGAGTTATAGAATGTTAGAAATATAAGGCTAATTCATTAGATGTAAGAAGAATCTGTGAGTGTGTCAGAAAATAAATTATCACACCTCTAGCAATAAAATGTCACTTGTGATATCTATTAAATTTTTTTCTGTAGAATGGTATTTCGTCTTAATAAAATAATATATTATTTTATTGTTCAACTACAGTACATGAAGGCATGTGCGACATAAATTAGCATGTTTTTGATCCTTATTAAAATATATATATTGTAATAGATGATACATCATAAATCATCTGCAAATCATCTATGAAACTATATTTGTACAACAAAATAATTTCATACATAAGTCGATTCTCAAAAAATATTTTGAATTTTTTCTTTATCTATCAGAATAGCATTTATTTATGAATTTATTTCTTCTAGAGTGTTGCATTGCTACAGGCTATTCCTACTAGATTTTGACTGGAGTATATTTATATAATATTAGTAGGCCTTTATTACTGAGCGGTCAGGTAATTGAAATAAAGAAAAAAAAAGTATGTATATACATACCTCTAACGCCTTAAAGCTAATGTATGTAAGCGTGTATAACATAAATTAACATATTTTTGATCCTTATTAAAGTATATACTGTTGAGATTTTTAATATACATTCCACATGTCCTTATTCTTGAACACAAACTTTCAGCATAAGAGTCTGTTGCATATTCTCCTGTCTCTTTCCCCCAACATGAATACAAGTCCAAAGAGAATGTAAATGAAGTCATTTAAAAGGGTAGTATAGTGAAATTATTACACCTTTATATTATTTTTTTTTACTTTACTTAGCAAGCTTCTAACATTATATTTTGACTACTTTTATCATTATGTCTTCAGAATATTTATACATAAAAACTGTAGAATATTTGACTAGCGTAAAGACTGAACATTTAATGGCAGGTTCTATTATTTACCAAGGGTTAGAAGAAAATCCTTGGATTAGTAAAAATGAACTAAGAGGCATTGTAGAAAAAGCGGTTAATTTGATAAAAAACTCGCATGGTATAGATTTTAAACGTTCTGGAAAACTTATTCAAATTATACTACAGGTATGCTATTTTATAGGTGAAATATTATGATCATATTATATCGAATGATGAGTACGTAGATAGTGGCACTTCTGAGGAGATAAGTATGTCAGTATAAAAAACCTATTAGCCTACTAATAGGATTTTTCTCAACAGTGTGAAGGGTTATTTATATTGAAGTCCATGCTTATTTTAATGTAATTAATATTATATCACATAAAGTTTCATTTGTGTAACCAGGCTGTACTGGATGATTTCTTTGTGTTATTTTTTGACGACTGCGTAGTTATTTATATTTTCATTTAATGCATCAGCGGTTATCTAACTTATTTGTATATCTACGTTAGGTTGATATTACTTTTAATTATATTAGTAATTTGCAAGACGTTAGAGTTATAAAAATGGTATGTTTTAAGAAAAGGTAGATGATATGAATATATTTAATAATAATTTTTTGACTTGTAGAATAAAAAGAAGCCTCTTATTTCAGAGCAGATTAAACATAATATAAATAAGTTGAAAGGAAAACTTACTGTAGGTGGCACTATCTTTTTTTATTATGCTGACAAGTCAGACTAATATGAGGTATTTGTATTATTTAGACCAGAACATCAAAACTTTGCCAGGAGTTAGTAGTTATTTTAAATGGATTAACAATCTTTGAACTAACCTGGAAGATCCCTTTAATTAGTTAGGTCATCAGTGGTGATTCATTACTAGTAGCTCAATTATCAAAAAAACAAAAGAAAAAATTTATGGTATATATCTTCGCTAATACTCGCTTTTTCTCAACAGTAAAAAATAATATATATTATTTCTACTATCTAAAAATTAATTATATTCATTCCAGAAACTGGTTGAAGAAATGGTATCTCCAACAATACCTCGAGGTATAACAGAAGAATGTGTAAAATTCGTAACAAATTTTATGCTACGAAGTATACTAAGGTTGCAAGAAAGATTAACGCATGATGAAAACTGGAAGGAAGGCAACAATAAGCTTAACAAAGTTACGTTAAAAATTCTTAATACATTGAAAAGTATTTGGTGCAATCCAGCTTTTGGTCCTGAATTTGTTGAAACAATGAATGAGGGTACCTATATTAATAATATAGTTGTTTTCGCAATCCATGCTACATTATTTGATAATTCTTTTAGAGAATATGCATTCATTACTACATAAGTTTTTTGTAATATCTGACTATAGCTAATTACGAATCTTAAATTATGATGAATATAATTCCTTTTTTAGTTTTAAACATCAAAGTATAGCAAGTTCAAATAGAAAGGGTGATAGATATACAGGAAGACGGCCAGATATAATGCTTGTGTCAAAAGAGAGTGATAAACTATACGAACTTATGTATATAAAATGCTCACGAATTTTTTGTAATAAGCAAAAGGAAGATGATGATAATGTGAAATTATGACGCGAAACTAATGATAGAATGTACTGGGTAAAAAAAAGTTGCAAACCTGAAAAGGGTCAATTTGAAATTATAGGAGTGCAGGTAGTTGGACAAAAGCTATGTCTGAATATTCTGATCAAAGACAAGGTTGAAGTACATCGTTATTACAAATTACGCAAATCTACAATTCCAATTCATTATTTGTATGAACTTTCTGTTCTGGCTGAATTCATTAAGATATTGTTGATTTTGCGAAATATTTTAATTGTTAACATATCTTTACTATGCAATACTCCTTTACATAGATTAAGTAGAAACTTAGAAAATAGTTCAACAGTAACATCTGATTAAGTTAAAATAGATAGATTGTATATATGATTAATAAAAATTTATTATAACAAGTTTATGATCCTATTGTTTAGTGTTATTTTTTTTCTTGGCAAATTTGCGGGACTGTGCAGTCTCAGAAAACATGTGATTTGTTTATTTTGAATATCGCAAAATGAATTAGTAAAAAATTTATTATCTGTACTGCAAAAAATGTGATCCTGTATTAATGCTAGCTGGTAAAAGTGATCAGCATTAGAGGCGCATATGTGATTTTATCAAAGTTGTATTACTAGCAGATCTCTCATGATATTGACGTGTAAATTTATTTTTAATGCTATTTCTTATGCCAAGGGTGAATTTTTTCCATGCAAACTTTTTTTTTACGTAAAACTATATCTAATAAAATGTTCCATTCTGACTATAAACATATTATAGATAGACTACCTAAAAGTCTTGTCAAGAGAGCGTGTCAAAGACTCTTGCACCATTCTAAAAATCCTGTTCTATTAGAATCTATTTCTGGGAAGTCTGAACGAATTGAATCTTATTTAATATACATATTAGAGGTTTATAAGAATTCATTAAATAGGAGACGCAAAAATATGACTCAGGAAAAATTATTACATCTTCAGAGCTGGCTAGAATGTGACGTATCCCTAATATTACCTGTTGTACATGTTATAGATGATGGAGTTCAAACTGATAGTAATACATGGCCAGAGACACTAAAGCATGATCATGAAGAAGAGAATAATCGCTAGGTTATGAATGAGCTTAAAGTACTATCCTAGCATCTGCTTGATTATAATAGATGAACTTTTGAAAAATTTATGCATGATATTGAAAAAGAATATAGAGATCAGATTACTGCAAATAAGAAAATATGCTACGAGATCAAAGATCTGAAGATGCAAGTGCAGAAAGCAGAAAAAGAGCTGGCATTTATGAAGTTGGATTCTCACTAAGAAGTGACATATTTCAGCGTCCCTCAATAAAATAAGAGATGATCTTCTCTTGCACTTTCTTTGGATCAGTGCATACATCTTTGAATATGGGTACTGTAGCTCTATCCAGAGAAAACGAATCTACCTTAGGGATTTTATCAGGTTTCAAAGCTCAAAATGTAATATTTTCATGATAGGGCTTTGGACTATTTGCAATTATCTGATATACTGATTTGAGATACATATATTTTTTCTCCTTAAGATTGTAACTGATCAAGAGCAAATTATCATACTTGATATAGCGCGTCCCTTCTTTCTTTCTATTAAACATCTAATAAAGCTTATTTCTAAGCATGAGATTAAGAACTTCATTAGTTTTTCTAGAATTGATATGACTACAGATCAGAAATGTGAAAGGCTATTGAGGAACACTTGAATGTCTATTATATTTTTTGGCATCTTTAATCTCATTAATATAATATACAAGCCTATCAACCAGTTCAAGCTTTTTTATTTTCATGTCGAACTATTACTAATGATATACTAAAATAATCTTGCAAATTTTAGCAAACTTGATTCACCCAAAATCACGTGAACTTTTAAGGGTTGATGGTAGTGTTCCGCAAAATTAGATCAGATCAGATTTGGATAAAATTCGATCCGATCCAATTTTCATTTTTCAGGATCCAAATCTGATCTGAATCTGACAAATCCGTTAAAATCCAGATCCAATCTGAATCTGACGGATCGAATCTCAAATCCAAATTTGACAGATCAATTTAAATCCAAATCTGATCTGATCTGAATCTGAAATTTTTATTGAAAAATGATTTTCAGCTTTAAAAGAGTTCTGAAAAGTCATTCCTTTTTAATGAAAGGAAACGAATTTTCGGTTCTAAGAGATCTAAAAATTTTTTTTTCAATGAAAAGAACCTTTTTGACTCTAAAAGAGTTCTAAAAAATCATTTTTTTACAATGATGGGAACCTTTTTGGCTCTAAAAGAGTTCATTTCTTTATAATGAAAGGAACCTTTTTAGCTCTAAAAGAGTTCTGAAAAGTCGTTTCTTTACAATGAAAGGAACCTTTTCAGCTCTAAAAGAGTTCTGGAAAGTTGTTCCTTTTTAATGAAAGGAAACGAATTTTCAGTTCTAAGAGATCCGAAAATTTTTTCTTTTAATGAAAGGAACCTTTTCGGCTTTAAAAGAGTTCCAAAAAGTCATTCTTTTACAATGAAAGGAACCTTTTTGGCTCTAAAAGAGTTTCAAAAAGTCATTCCTTTACAATGAAAGGAACCTTTTCAGCTCTAAAAGAGTTCTGAAAAGTCATTCCTTTTTAATGAAAGGAAACGAATT